CGCCGCGGCGCAGTAGCTGCGGATGCTTGATCCGGATGGTGAGGGCGGAGAGTGATTAAGGGTTGCTGTGGTCGCGGATTCACTTGGCGCTGGCGGCGTCAATCGTTGCGATAAGACCTGCCGAGATGCCTGACCTCTTGGATCATTCTGCGATTGTCTCGTGCAGCTGGTGAATTCGCTTCTTCAGAGGTGCAGAGGAGCAAGTCTTGACAAGGGAATAGATGGATAGCACACAAGGTACGAGGTCTTGCTCACGAGTGTGTCTGAATGTCTTACCTTGACATGCAAAGCGAGGTCCATACGTATACCTATAATTGGGATACGCGGACGCAATGACACCCGTGCTCGTACGCCACCAAGTCACGCCTGCAGTCATGATGAGCACTGCGCACTCCCCACCTCAGCATATGTGCCTTCCGGCTGCACTGAGCGGAGTTGGTTCCGTCAGATCCGCCCGCGCATGCAAGGCGGTCGAACCCAGCAGCTCGCTGCTGCTGCTGCGAGATGCTCCCACTCCCACTGTGAGTTGTGAATGTGAATCCTGCTGACCTGATGAATCGTAAATCGGCGCAAGGCAGCAGATGTGGATAGCTGTGACACGTGGTCCTACCTTTGTGACTCAACGCGCAGTGTACTCTGACCCAAATCACGAATGTCCGCAAAGATTGGCATGATGAGGTTGCTGAGACTCACTCCCAAGGTGCGGCTCGCTAAATGACTTGAAATTCCTGATTTCGATTGTCGAGTCTCGTGTCTGAGACTCCTGAGTTGCAAATCACTACTACTAGTAGTACTGCTATCAACGTAAACGTTGAATCAAAAATAAAAAATGATTTGAATCCTGAATCACAATGTCATTCTTGAGTTTGATTCTTGACTCTGGTTGTAATCCTAGGTCACGTGCGCCCAGCGTTCTGTCTTGAGCCTGAGTTTCAAGCCAAGAGGCCATGACTCACGACTCGTGACTACCGTCAAAAACATCACGCGCACGACCCAGGCGCGCAAAGCTTTGTCGCGACGGGATTGCCATTCGTGATCACCCATACAAGAGGATCATGTACCATCGACGGCGTGCTCAAGTCTCCTTGCAAGTCCACCTCAGCCCCGAGACACCAAGGAGGAGCACGGACGGGAGATGTTGCGTGCGTCCGTGCGTGGCGTTGGGCGTTGTGGGGTGTGCATCGCCGAGACGATTCATTCACGTGATTCATCCATGCAGCTGCTCCCTCAGTCAAGACTTGATGAGAGATAGATCTAGAGTCTATTCGGCTCAAGATTCGTACGTCACTCGACATCCACATCACCTTTCTCATTTAGGCACGCTTCGGACCCACCGGAGAAATGGGCGTGCCGAAGTCTCGCCCCCGATGGCTTGAGCGACTCTCTGTGTGCGGCTGCAACCTCGCTTGCGTTTGCCTAGCCCTGTAGGGCGACAGTTCATGCTGTGCACACATCAGGACAATCGAGCTCGACTGGTGGAAGACGTCGGAGAGTGCGTAGTGCAGGACGCCATTTAGCTCGAGACTCAGGAGCTCGCTGAGTCTGAGCCGTGGCTAGAGTTGGATTAGCTCGACGAGTGTTTCGCAGACAAGACAAACACAGCTTGCCCGGTAGCTGTCGGAAGCATCCGCCAAATTCCAATCTGAATCGAATGATGGTGTCTGTGAACGAGTACCACAATTTGCGACGCTTGACTAAGCCGCAGCGGGTGAGGTCTGCTGCTTTGAGCAAGTGCTGCTGCCCGCGAGGTCGCGTCGGTCGACGCAGGCATGTATGTCTCAGCTCGGCAATCGGTCTGTCTCAGCCGATCAATGCACGCGCGGCTGTCGTGGGGAAGGTGCGCGGCTACACAATTGCTGCATGGCTTCTTTGGGGTTACTCGTGTCGGACACCGAAGCATGATGAGCTACCCGTTATGTGCGCTTGGCCTCTACCTGGCCAAAGCCAGCATCAGCAAGCATCATTCGTACACGAGCATCGACGATGAATGGTGAGTGTGGATCACCCCTCGCTTCTCACCCTCGCACGCTGTGCGATCGTGATTGCGATTAGCTGCACCGAGGTTCTCAACAGCCGCACATATGTACTTCCGTCCACCACTGTAACTAGTGGACTAACTACTACCACAGTAGACTTAGCATCTGCTAGGGTATTGTGCCCCATGCAGCGGGGCGCACGAGCGCGCCACGAGTTCGAACTCCGATCGTCATCTTACGCATTTCCAGGATCGTGAGCGCTGCGCAGCAAGGAGTTGCGCAGGTGCACGAAGCGAGGAGGGTGACACGTGCACCGCATCTTTTTTGAGGCCGTCTTGCGCTTGCCGTCCCGCCGTATACTCACATGGCTCTGCGGCTTCTATCCAAGCACAGAGTGCGGAAATATGCGCTTCCAAACTCAGCCACGTGGAAGATGGAAGACGTCGAAAGTGAAGATGGAGGTACTCCGCCCTGCAAGGGATGCAATGCTCTCCACCGCGCTCATAACTTAAATGAACCGCGAGTTTTGAAGCTGCAGCACACCTGTCAGGGCACTATCGGGAAAACGTTGCGAACAGAAAATCACCATTTTCTGGCAAAGCGTCGCAATTTGTTCTGCAGAGCTTTGTGTGTCGAAGCGCAATCTTCCACGGAGCCGTTCGTCAACTGCAATTTGACCTCTCAATTCCTGCTTGCTCGCCCTAGCTCAGGCGTGCATACAATATTGAGAGCCAGCGCTCGTCATTTCGCCGAGGGAAGTCGGAGCACGGGGAGCCGGGGCACTCTTCTCCCGTGTCAAAGATGCACATGTTTTACGATGACCATCGCACGGCTGCCAAGCCAGACCAATAGAGCGGAGGCTGCCGATGATCGTATATGAGTCCGAGTGCTCGGTCGAGGTCTCGCTCGTTTGGAATATGTACATGGGTATCAAGATTGGTCCTATGTGTGTGTGTCGATGGCCTGATGCGAACCGCCGTAGTTGCAAAAGCCAGCAGGAGCGCTAGTCAACATCGGGTTTGTTGCTCCTCGCGTTGAACGAGGGCTCTATTGCTCGTCACTGCACAAATATGTGCATATGCTGCGAGAAGCTAGTGGAGACGGGCCAACTTCAAGGGGCCTAGACTTTCGGCTGCACACTGCAGGTGCTGATCTGCTGCATCCGTATGATGCGTGTGCAAGGCCCAAATCAGAGTGAATGGAGCTCTAATTCGTGGAGACGCTAGGCGAGGTTGACATCCGTCCCGCGCCAACGAGACCGCACAGATGTCCCCTGACCCGCGCCGCTCGCTGGTCTTTTCGGTGCATCGCGCTGGAATGTTTTGGGCAGCTAACAGCCTCGCTCCACGGGCTGGAGTCGTTGATGAGTGAAGTCATGAGCGAGACTTGTAGACACTATCGTGCCGTTTGTCTCGTACTGAGCAGCAGGCTGCCTTGGATGCCGTTTCGATGCCAATTCTGTGCAGAGGTACAAACACACACACACAGCGTCTGCAAGTGCTGCGGGCCCAACTTGAGACTCCGCCAGCTGTACATGTATGCCTGGACCCTTAGCGCGGGCATATGTTCCTGAAACGGTTTCGCTCCGACGTCCATGATTTTCTACTCGACAATCCGCCGACTGAAGGAAATCAGCTCGTTCGGCCCTACAGTGTCACGTCTAAGCGTCGTACTGACGAGTCACGACAGCTAGTGGCCAAAAGCCTCCAGTTCTGCATGTGCTTGGCGTAACGGTGAAGAAGATGTGAATATTGAGAATGTGGAGGCGACGCCGTCTGAGTGCATGTGAATTCACGATCGTCGACAGCCTTCAAGCGAGCAAGCTTACGATCGCCGCTCGAGGATCGTGAGTGTCTCTGCAGCAGAAGCGATTACGTGGGATTCTGTCTGATGTTGCTTGTCGCTGCAGTCTGACAGGCCTGTGATGGGGCAAACGCCGAAGCTCTGTCGCATCCGCCGTGCGCTTCTGTCGTCAAGCAGTGGCCGGATGACACGACGCACGGGCGGTGCTGGAGTCGTATCCGCCGTACGGAGTCATGCAAGCAAGTCTATCATTATGGAGCAATCTTCCGGACTTGGACGCATCTTCAGCGTCCATTTGAGGCCGGATTCCATCGTGTCCCGTCTTGCCTAGGCGACCGGAGTCCGCCGTTGTGGTGACAAATTCGACTAAGCGCTCGTGCACTGCTCTTCCCGGTGGTCCCAGGCGCTGATGCACTCTTGACTTGTTGCCTACACAGCAGACGAGCAGACGGGTCGAACGAGCAAATCTTGACGCGGCGCAATGCAATCGCAATCGCTGCCTCTCTGACAGCCGGTAGATGCTTCAGAGGGCATTGCAAATTGCCTGTCGTAGCTGTCACGACAGCTGCAGGCAATCTTGTAGGATACCCTAAGCTGTGATGCATGACGAGCTGGCGCACGTCCCCGCATGTTGTGGTGATTACCGGCGACTCGAGCCATCCAGGGCTCATCCCCGCTGGTGGGCTACTGTCCTGACAAGCGTTAGAATTGCAAGCCATATTGCGCATACGGACGAACAACTCTTGCAGATGAATCTTGGCTCTCCTGAAATCTGGCTCGTTGACTCGGAGCCTCGTCAACGTTAGCCGCCTCTTGACTGCTAATCTTCCATCACACGCCCGGCCTTCTTCGTCGCATCCAGCGTCATCATCGCTAACATTCGAAGTACCCGGCTCGTTGCTGCGCTCCTCACGAGCTTCATTCACCAGGCGCCGAGGCATTCACCATAGTCGATCTTTGCCAAAATCTTCTGGCCCGACCTTTACTTGATTTTTCTTTGATTCTTTGGGCGACAGCGCTTCTGACTGAGAGCCTCTTCGTCTTCGTCTTGCACGCTTGTTCCAATAGCCTGTTGGCGGCCGCAAAGGAAAAACGGCAGTTGCGGAGCCGCAAATTGTGCGCCACAACACAGTGTTGCTGCTTGCTTCTCTCAGCCGAGTCAAAAGAGAATCTCGGACAACCTGGCAATAAGCAAGACGGAGCAGTCAGCCAGCAACCCTCGACGTCTCAGGATCAAGAATCAGCCCATCTTCACGAGCGCCAAGGCGGAGCAGTGGAAGCCGCCCTGAATCAAACGCGAAAAGCGTGGCTGCCCCCCCGTCTCAACAACTCAACGAGCTTTCCAAAAGGTGGTCTCGAAAGCGTCGGCGTCGTCCAACCAAGCGCCAGGGATCTCCTGTTTGGCCTTCGCACAACGCCCAATGCACCCTAGCCCTAGCCCCAGCGCCCACTTCATCTGCTGCGCCGCGGTCAAGCGCTTCTGTTGGGGGTGTTCAACAAGCTTTCCCAGCACATTCGTGGATTGACGAGCGTTTGCCCAGTGACCGAACCGTGGGCCGCTCAGAAGGAGGTTTTGCTTGTCCGCTGTCACTTGAGTCCACACGACCCGCACCGTCTTCCACATCGGCACCCCATCAACGCCCAATCACCTTGGAACACTCAAGACGACGCGTGGAACAGGCAACGGGCAGCAGTAAGGCGTCTCAATGTCTATCGCAGCTTCTTCAAGTTTCAATTTCCACACCTCTAACCTCTTCAAGGTGAGTGTTCGCTCTCGACATCTCAAATCAGACTGTCAGCGCCATAGTCTGCGGTAAATTGCGCCCTCTGGCACGTGTTTGGGATCCCGCCGCAATCACAGAGAGTAGTATACTTCGGCAATTGGCGATCCATAGACCGAAGTCTCACATGGGCGGAGCGGCATAAATTTAGACCTACACGTCCAATCAAGCAGCTGTCTCATGACGCTGCAGTCATCATTGTACGACGGTCGTAGGTCGTTGAAGGCAAAGCTGTCACTGTGGGCCAGCTTTGCGCGGTGATGATGAGCTTGGGGAGTACCATGGACTTGCATGCGAAGCACGCTCGACGCTCACAAGCTCGTCGTCCCAGAGCAATATGTCTCGACCCGAGTCGATCAGGTGCATCGCATTCATCGCCGGCAGACAGCTGCTTTGTGTTGGTCTCCTCGAAAGGGCTGTGGATCCGTCCGATCCGCTCTCACAAATTCATGCCTCGCTGCGTCGGGGTACGAGACCATCGCTGCGAGGACAGGGGATGAGAACTCTGTCTGTGCTGCAGGTGCCGGACCGCATGGGTGGTAGAGCAGTCGTGACACCGGTACACACCGAAGTCGAGGCTGCGCTTCGCGCTGTCCAAATTTGACTCAAATATCAAAAGTTTGAGTTTGCAGTGCAGGCGAATTAGGTACTCCGCGTAAGCTTTCCGCCTTGCGCTGCGGCGAGAGGACCCCGGTCTGCGCCTTCCGGTTGCAGCCCACGTTCAAAGTGTAGGGAGCCTGTCTTCGTCTGCTTTTGGGGTCCCATCTTGGATCGGAGAAGTACGAATGCACACGAGGCGAAGGGAAGCTGGTTAGGCCCTGGCTTGCTCCTGCGCATGACGTCTTGCGCCGCTGTCGCTGTCGCTACCGTTACCGTTTGCCGGTTTCGTGACGGCGGTCAAGCACGCGGTCAGGTCGAATGACGTGGTGAAGAAAGGCGTTGCGTCTTCTCAGCACCACCATCGCATCGTCCCTTTCGAGGCCTGCAGGACAGTCTGGCCATCAGCAAGCTGAGCGAGAAAAGGTTCACCCCATGTCCCTCAATACACGCTCTTTTGCGTCGCCGCTTGACCCCGTCGCGAAGGTGTTCGGGTGCCTTGGCTCCCCCAGCGATCCTGCACCAACACCTCCATTGGTCAAGTTTACACACAATGTTGCCCGTTGAGCTGACGCCCCCATCCCGTGTTCTCAACTCTCAAATCTCGCTTTACTCTGGCATTGGTGCCAATTCTTCATATCTCGGCCCTCCCACTACCTTGCACGCCGAATCATCTTCGCTCATCTCGATGCGTCAACAGCCTCAGACACAAGATATTGCCCCGATCCCGCGTAGCGACGCTAACACGGCTAGCGATCATTCTCTCGCATCGACCCTATCTCTCATAGAACAGGTCCAAGGCCTTTACGCGCCGGAGAAGGCGCTTGCATCGAGCTTTGATAAGAACGCAGGAGTAGCTGGCACAACGTGGGCCACTTCAGACAGTCACGCAACTCATCAGTTGGTCGATTCGGGCATTGTCACCGCATCTAGGACGCATTGGTGGACCGCAGAATCACGCGTCAGCGAGCTCTCACCTCGAACAACCTCGTCTCGTCCGCTCAAGGCGCAAGTCTATCACATGAGCACAACGCGCCAGGTACCCCAAGCGGATGCGGACGTGGACGTGGAGGACCGTGCTGCATCGAGCCACTCTTGGTCTGAGAGAAGCTATCACAATGATCATCGACGGAGCATGCAGGGCTCAAGCTCCAGCAACGGCGACGCATCCAGCAGCTCGCTGTCGAGCTCAGCGACAGAGCGGCTACCCGGCATCGCACATCTAGACCTCTTTTCAGCTTCGGCTCGCTCTCGTCATGACAAGTACTCACTCCCTGACGCCTCTCTCCCATATCCTTCCTGGTCGTACGACCACAAGGTCGATGGGTCCGGCACCGCCGCGCAGCAAATTCACGACAAGCCACTCCCGTTGCCACACATTCCGGCCTTAGCAAGATCTTCGGGCACATACAGCCCTGCGTTCAGCACCAGCACCTCTCGCGATACACCATCCAGACGTCCCGGGCCTGGTCTAAATGTTGCGCCTGCACCTTCATTGTTCTCGGCGCAAGCATCACCTCTACGACCCTCTGTCTTGTCACAGCTGACAAGCGTTAAGAAAGATAGAGAGTCAAAACATTCAGACGACCGCGATCCTTTTCCTGTCTCACTAAAGTACGACGGACTGCCACCTGCAGATCAAATACAAGATCACAACGTCGACCCTAGACGACGAGCGTCCATTGCCAACGCCTTGCCCTCAGTCTTGGCTCCGCGGGGACCGGCCCTTCCACCTCCGACCTGGTTCCGCACCGATCTTAAGCGCAAGTCGGCCTACGATGATGATGACGGCGATCGCCGCTTGAATGGCTCCTTTTCTGACAGGCGTATCTGGTCCTCATCGCGAGGCAGTCTTCCCGCTGCGCCGGTCTCGTATGGAAAAAGTTACGCGGACGAAGACTTGCGAGGGGCAGGCCGCACGGCGCACGAGCCTTCGATTGGGCCAGGCGGTCTCGCCTACCCCCAAGACGATGTCGACCTCGGTAATGGTCACTCATACGGTGAGTTCTTCAAAGCTCCGCCCGATCTCATGCGCCCTCGTGCGTGGCCTTGCTCCATTTACTCACCTACTATTTGCTTTCTCACTCCATACCCGTGCCTGCAGCTCGAAGCGCAGACAATTCACCTATCGAACAACGATCGTACTTGGGCTCTGATGCTCGATACGAAAAAGACAGCTTGCAACGCAGTTCTAATGATCGACTCTCCGACCAGCGCATGATGTATGCTTCAAGTTTCAGCGGAATGCCTTCGTCCTCGAGATCCGGCGTTTCACACTCAGAGGGTGCTTCTGACGGTATGCAGTCGACCTATCGAAAGCGCGGCAAATTGCCCAAAGCGGTGACGGACCTGCTCAAGACATGGCTACTCGATCATGCCACGCATCCTTACCCTACCGACGATGAGAAGCGCAGACTGTGCAGCATCACTGGCTTGGCGATGAGCCAAGTCTCGAATTGGTTCATCAACGCCCGCAGAAGGATCCTTGTCCCAGTCTCGACCGGCGGCTTCGCTGTCGGCACCTCTGCATCTGCAAGCCTGCCCACGCAAGGTCAGCAAATGCACGCAGATCGCTTGTACGGAGCCCAGCCATCTCATGGTCCCCCACATCTTGGTCAGCGATACGTCTCGCATCAACAGCACTCCTTTGCACCAGTGTCTCAGTCACGCGACAACAATTCTGGCAGTCACTATCATCCCTCTGACATCACCCAGGCATCAGAGTCTCTCCGTCCCTTGTAGACCTTCTCACCGGGCTTTTCAAATCTACCACGTCGGGTTGGAGGCGGCATCACGAACCGTCACCAGTCGGCCGTGCATCGCGAATGAACAGGCTCCACTGATTCAGCTCTGCGCTTCCAGATGCATGTGTTGTTCCTGTCAGACTGGCCGATTGCCATCCTCACTGTCTGGTCTAGAGGGACGTCCTTCTCCCACTCCGTTTCAACCCGTCTCGAGCGCTCGGGGCATCTCGGCTCCCCTCAGCATGCCCGTTTGCGTCCAGGCTTCTCTGCTTCTCTTGAGTGCGCCTCGCCTCCCGTTCTCATGTAACACCCTTTCACCTTACTCATCGCTTGTGTCCTTAGCCTCCGTGTATCCTTGCAAATTCCATCGCCTGATTGACAGCCATGTCATGGGTATGGACCGTCTGTGTGCGAGCAGGCGTTGGAGCTCCGTAGCTCCAGAGGACTTGCAAGCAAGAGCGCGAGACCACACAAGGCACATCACTTCGTCACGAGCATCTCTTGCCGTCCAGCAGCGAGCGTGCCTGCAGTCTTGTGAACGCTCGAAATCTGCAATCACGCACTCTACCTCAAGAGGTCTTGAGTCACCTTCGAAGTTCACGGTGGAAAGGTACAGTCAGCCGAGCTGTTTCAACTCACGATCAAAGGATGTCAAGACGATTCGAGTGCGTGGTTCGGGACACGTGACGCGTCTAGCTTTTGCGCGTGCGACGCGACTCGTCAGCTTTTGCGGGGCCGCGGACGGCGGGGGCGTGCATGGATTTGGGTCAAGATTCAAGATCGACGAAGGCCATATGCGACGACCAAGCAAGGCTCCTCAGCTTCCCGCTCTCACCACACATGCGCTCGAACGCCTCTGCGAGGTGGCACACTCGTCGTCGACAATGTCCGCCACGGCACTCAATCTCGCCACCCTCCCTTACACCAGCTTCTCCTGCGAGCCTCATCGACTTCCTGGATAGGGTCGAGCAGCTCCGCTCGGAAACGGAGACGCATCATGGCACCCTCAGCATCGGGCTATCTGGCGGAGTATCCACTCATCAGAGTGGACAGGTTCACGGACAACCGTGTGCAAGTTCCAGCGCATCTTTCAGCAGAAGCGCTGGCTGATCTACCCGCTGGCAGCTCCCATTTTCCCTCTCCTGCTCTCTACCTCTTGTCACACATTGTGAGTATGGACTTGTAGCGCTGGTCTCTCGCTTGAGCTCACTTGAGGGAGTGTGTGTCTCTACGCAGCATACGGATCACTTGTGCGGATTGGAGCAACACCGCCATAATAGCGCTCCGATCTACTGCAGTCCCACGACCAAAAAGCTCCTGCTGCGCTTCGAACGAACTGCGACGCGGGTGGAGAAGGATGCGGGAAGGGGCGACATTGTCAGACCTTATTCCGACTTGTTCCTGACACCGGAACAGTGCCGGGTCAGGAATCGGCGATTTGGTGATGATCATTCCAAAAAGGGAGGTGGTCAGGGCAGAGACTTACTGGTACGCATCAATGGCAACGTCCAGCCTGTTCATCCAGGACGAACCTGACATTGATGCTCCATTTGCCACAGCACGCCATCGAACTTCGTACTCCAACCATCGTGCCCTACGCAGGTAGAATGCACGTGCGCCTGACGTTGCTGGACTCGAATCACATGGCTGGCTCCGTGATGTTCCTCGTAGAGGGAGAGCGAGGCGCGGTGCTTCATACCGGCGACTTGCGAGCTGAGCCCGTCTTCCTACACGCGCTCTCGAGAGACCACTTGATGTTACCGTATCTATCGAGGAGTAATGAGAGCATCCATGGCAGTGCTCCGCCTTCGCCCATTCGATCGGTGGCGTGCAGCTCTACCGCGGCGGCAGCAGAGTCACTCGGATCGAGTCAGTCTCACCTGCCACCTCGCGACTTTCAAGTAAGGTACGGCCCACTCTTGAACATTTACGTAGACGATGAGAGGATGTCAGCCGTACTTACTTCTCCGACGAAGATTCAAGCTGAAGATATGATGATCTCCTACATGCGGCAATATCCGTCCGATACTAGGTTCTTCCTCGACGCTTGGTGCTGGGGGTACGAGGGCATCATTCACCGCGTGCACAAGGCGTTTGGCGAAAAGGTTCACGTTGACAGGTACAAATTCGGCATGTACAGAGCTGGTTCCGAGGTAGATTTTCACCTGCCATCCCGAGTGCACGTCAAGTCTCATATGGATGGGGGTAGATTCCACGCTTGCGAGAGGATGGACAGGTGTTCTTTGGTGTCAAGAGAGGCTCAAGCTACGCATCCTCAACCTTCTCTCGTCGTAGACATCAAATTCGGTGCCGGCTCAAATTGGATGCAGCGACGAGTCGACACCGAGAAGGCATTACATGCTGCTGCTAAGGGAGATGTGCCGTGGCCAACATGCCTCATAGTACCATTCGAACGGCACAGCTGCCTCTCAGAGATCAAAAGCTTCATCGCTCTCTTCCGGCCGCTGCAAGTGACCTCAAACACTGCTAATCTTGAGAATTGGTTCTTGATGTCAAAGACTTTCACAGCTATGCTGGCGCCAGGAGCGAGAGAGCGCATGGAAGTGTCAACCAAAGGCAATCTCGGTACTCAGTTGTGGGCTCTATTTGAAGACGCTTGGACTCACGTCACAAGGCAAGGGAGCGTGATGGCGCAGCCTGGTCGTACTTCTTGGAAGGACGAGGAGCACATTCAGGCAGAATGGACGCGCTTTCGAAAGACATTCAAGCGAAAGCTTCTGCGTTATGCAGCCTCTTCGGAAAAGTTTGACGAAATCCAATTCGCAATGGAGAAGAGGAAGCACACAATTAAGATTGCGAACAATGCCAAGCCTGACCACATCAACTCAGAAGATGAGGACGAAGCAGCTCACCAACAAGCACCAATTCCCAGCGAAGAGGGTTATCTGGGGGACATTAGCGGCATGCCAGGCATGGCTGCCGGCGCAATCCGATCACCAGAAGGCTCGATTGAGGATCTGCTGTCCCGGGCTGGGCCCATGCCACCCGCTCACGTCCGCAAGCGCAAAGGGCCGCCCCCAGCCATTGATCAGCGGTCTTGCACAGCCACAGCCACAGTTCTAGACGAAGAGCTGGCGTCCAGGTATCTGGCCTATGCGCAAATGTACCTCGGCTGGAGGATACTCAACACCGACAGGGCTAGCCAGGTCCAAGCATGGAAGCGCGTCAGGCGGAAGAAGCCAGACCTTGCTAGCCGGGTTGAAGAAGCGCTGCACACTGAGCTGGGAGTTTTGCCACCTGTCTGGAAACTTGGTCGTACATCATCTTCCTCAACCGCAAGCGATTTGAAGGCCGCTGAATTAGTCGACAAGAGTTCGATGGGCCCTGCAAATCAAGGTACACCAATACGCAACGCGACTTTGAGCGTAGGCCGAGAAGTGGTACAAGACGCGCCCGAACAGATGGTCTGGATCTCACCGGAGAGGACACTCAGCGGTACACGAGATTCAATCCAGGTTCAAACCCTGGGTGATGCGGTGGATCACTACCAGCCCCGTCGCGTGCCTCTAGGCGAATTTCTGGAACGACGCATCTCGAAGACGAAGGCCGGCAATCAACAGACCCCCATCAATGACATCAGGCCTGGGCTTGACACGAAAGCAGGCGCATCAGTCGCCCAGGGCGAGGCCGCAGTGATGGCACACAGAAGCGACCACCGCTTGATACACGATCTTTCAAGCGAGCGTTTCGTGCAGTCACACGTTTCCGAGATAGATACAGGAGCAATCGGTAGGCCAGGCATCCTACCTCCCGCTGATGCATTGGTCGGCTTTCCTCTCAAACATGCGCAGTGTCAAAGTGACCCCAAAGCCCCAAAGGAGCTGACCGTCCAAAATGGATGGAAGGAGGGCTCAGCGCCCAGCACGAAGGCGCGCTTTAGATTGGCTGCTAGTGGCAGGCACCACGCCCGACCCCTGGCGCAGCTCGAAGCTGCAGTGAATGCGGCTAGTGGTTATGCTCAACCGATTCGGAGCTCAGTCCGCCTTGAATGTCACGTTACGTCAGCTTATGCGATCGACGGCCAAACAAGCGCCTCATCTCAGAACAAAACCACGCTGTTCACCAACAATGCGGAGAACGGCGAAGTTGCGGTGCGGGCCAGCTACACGGACATCCTCCGCTGCCTTGGCAATGGCCAGGGCTGGCGGATGACCACCGCTCAGTGCGACATTTCGCACCTAATTAGCAGGGACCTCTGCAAGGCGTTGTCGCTGGTGAAAACAAAGAACACTTTGTTGCCCGATGCTACAGAAGCTTTTCGGTGCATGCTGGTCAATGTGACCAGGATTGCGTCCATCTACGGGCTTCTAGCCCGATCGGAGAGAGCACGAAAGCTCTTGCCGCAAGTTGCCGCTCACTCCCGCGCACGTGAGCTTCACAGACTAGCTACAGGTGTCGCAAGTATTTTGACATGCGCGTCGCTGGACTGGCCTTGGCTTGCTGAACTTGAGCTTGCCTACAAGACTTTACAGTGGGCCATCAAGACCCAAGTCCTCGACACACGCAAAAAGCGCGACGTCGGCGGAGTGCCGCCCAGCATTAGTCTGCGCCGTGCTTGCGGCGCCTCTCTTGACCCCAGCACGACGACCAGCAGCAACGTACCGACCCTGCTCACCTTGAGCGGAGGCAAGCGCAGCGTCAGATTCGAAGATCTCCGCATTGCAGCAGATTCGCTCGGATCGAGCATGCCAACGCGCAAGAAGAGGAGGCTAGATCAGCCCCTCTGCAGCACACCGCTAGCGAAAGCGGCTCGTTAGATGCTTTTGCATCCTTCATCACAGCATACTGAATACGGACCAGCTGTGTCTTTTATTGGATCCGACCTGCGCATGTCCTCTTGCACTGTACCTGCTCGATAGCAATCGTTCTTATCCATGTCCTT